AAGTATTCCATTGTGACGGATTATATATAAGGGTGTTTCATTAAGATGGATCAAAGTCAGCAGTAAATAAATCAGTGTTATTGATGAAAATTTATTTATTTCTCTAATGGATCATGTTATTTAAGTTATGGCAATTATACAGGAAAAATAATATGGCTCAAATGTCCGCCAAATCTCAAAGAAAAAGAAAAAATTATTAGACGCTTAAACTTAATTCATTTAAAATCGGTCTAAGTTATTGGAACACCTTTACACACACACACACACACACACACATATATATATATATATATATATATATATATATATATATATATATATATATATATATATCGTCTGTGTTCGTATATGTGATTCACGCTAGGAAATGCCAAATGATCGGAATCAAATATAATGTAAATCAGAATCCGTTGTTCTATGCAGAGTTGATCTGTGCTGACCTTAATATATACTGGGCTCACCCTAAGAGACACTAATGTAATCTTTGCAGTCAGTGTCACGCCAAAACATCAAAAGAGCTGGACGCATCAAAGATCTCATAGCCCGCAACAGAGATCTCTTAAGGAGATCTCATATTCTCCAATTGCAGAACAGTGCCACAAATGATTTCAAAAGATGCACCGACATATAAACAGAAAGCCAACCTAGCATACCTACACATATGCGCATGACAGGAAGCTATATAAACGTCCGATTCGTAAGCGTAAACGTAAAGTCGCTCACATTCTCGCGAGACGATTCGAACGTTCGCAGCCGACTTTAATCTGATTACAGAAGGGAATAAACAATATTTTTTTATGTATAAAAGATTTAGTCTCGTACTTTTATCAAATTTCAACCGAAAAAGTCTTTCAGAGAAATAATAGTTGGTTGATCATGTTTAGCGATATATCAACCTCTATAGGTTATTTTATGTCGAAATCTAAATATTTTGGACGCAGTTGTTGGACATTTTACTCTAAATACGTTCTGTTGGTAATTTTACTATAAATATGTATTTCATATAAAATTGCGTTTTGTTTTTGTTTGGTGGGGTTGCTATTTGTCCATAGCTGTGACCCTAACAGGCGCTATCACTCCAGATCAGGGTGGACCTGCGAACAAAAGCACTTAAGAGGTGGTTCTACGCTCCTCAAAACCTCCAATCTCCCGATCAGAAGCCTTGCTGCCGGATGTAGTTTATCGTCATACTCAGGACACGAATTAATGAAAAAGCAAATAGAAGCTACAAAGATTTTATTAATTTCATTCGAGGGTATACTGACAATGAATGCGAAAGGTTTCCTTATCAGGAAACGGTTGTTAAGATTACCATTATCATGATTATTTTCTCTTTTGTTTTTAGTTTTTTTTTTTTTTAGGGTTTTTTTTTTTTGTAATGTGTGCACATTTCTTTGGAGACCTATTAGATCTATGCTTAATTAATAAAATTAACTTACCCTTAAAAAATTAATTATGAATACTGCACAAATGTTTTAAAATGTTTACAGTAGGTAGTTTAATATATCGAGGTTTTCACTAATAGTTTTAAATAGTTTCTTTTCTTTTTTTTTAGTATTTAGACATTTCAAAAACTTAGTTACCTTACTTAGTTTGAACATGTGTCTACATGATAAAATTTTAAAATTCTATAATACATAACCTTGGAATTTTTCACTTCACACGTAAAAATTTAATTTTCAGATGAACACAACAATTTTTTCTTAGACAACATTGTGCTAATGTCGAAAGTACTCGGAATAAAATGAATATACATCAATATGGTCATTTTCTTTCTTCCTTTAATAAGGATACTAAGAAACTTGTCCGTAATTACAAGAGGATCCTATTAGAAATAAGTAGACAAAACTAAATTATTTAATGAGATATGTCTTAATGAAAACATGCTGCCAAAATTTTAGTTGTGTCTTCTTATTTTTAATAGAATCCTATACACACATATATATATATATATGTGTGTGTGTGTGTGTGTGTGTGTGTGTGTGTGTGTGTATGTCGGCCAATAACAGTCTCGATAAAATGAAATATTTGTATAATTTACGATTGTTCGTTTTGGATTCCTAAAAGCTCTATTTATTCGGCATCCAAACATTAATCGATCTCTTGGAAACCCATACCGATACCGACCACTTCGATGAACCCTGATATAGATTATAGCATCGAAATACATTCCTTTTATTTTTCTTTGTTTTTTTTTTTCTATTTTCAATTTTGACAATATCAGGACGGTTATTCTTCCTGCTGCTAATGTTGTGTCATGTTTTGTTGTTTTTTTGTCTTTTGCAGTATAGGCAGGAGATGGTGCATGTTTCTATATGCAGTCTCTTCCGGTTTCAGCATGTTTTGCGTCCTCATTCTGCACATGATGGGTGACCTGCACAGGTACCCGTACATGATTACCGCCCTGGCTGCCTTCAGTAAGATGGGAATAGGTGCCGCTCTTGCCCTGCTCACCCTTATCACTGCAGAGTCCTTCCCCACAGTCGTCAGGTAAGCATCATTTTTGTACGCTATTGTTCACGCAACACAAGGCCCAATAGCCACTCAAGGGTTACTAAATTGAGTTGTTTTATGGACGTAATAATTGTAATTTATTAGGATATGTAGGATAGATAAGAGTTGGACATGAAGAGGTTAAGTTTATAGTAGTCGGGAAAGCATCCCCTCGGGAGCCTTGCTATTAGCATTTTCGTTTGGGAAGAAGCTGTCCGGAGATAACTTTCTCTCTACAAAAGAAATGATGATGTTTCAATCCTGTGTATATAGCATGGCAGGTGTTAGCTATAAAGATTTTTTAACTAGTGGACCGAAGGAATGTATTTCATCCTAATATTTTCCATGGAAATAGCGGTAGATTAGCGATAGGCTTACAATATTGCGTAGTAATAAATTCATCACTCACAGGGCTACATAAACGCTTTCGAACTCTCTCAAGCTTGGAAAGAGATGAATGTGCAGCTCCAGTCTAGATATGGCAGCAATACTTCCTTTTTGGTCTGATTTGACCCTTATAAATTTAGGTACTTACTGGAGCGACACAAAGAACTGACTATTTTTTACAGCGTTTTTAGTGATAGATCGTATATATGAGATCCACTTGATGTCCGGATTGGCAACTAGCTCTCATAGTTTTACTGTTGAACTAGCTAGATTCAACCTCCACTTCCACTCTAATACTACCTTTTCTCGCACTTCCCACCCGTGGAACTCCCTTCCGAACTTTTTCTTCCCTGATAACTACAATCTTCAAAAATTTAAATGCAACTTTTAGTCACCATTTTCTGTCTTCTTAAACCATGTTCCTTTTTGTCCTTTCCTCAATCCTCCTCATTTTCAATCTTCTCACTGTCATTCACTTTCACTCCCTGTGTCTATCCCCCCGCGTTCTAGTGGCATTATCGTCTTGCTTGGGGGGAGCACAGGGAGTGAAAGACTCTCAAGGCAATGCAACCATTCATCGTGACTGCTGAGAACCTTTAAATACAATCCACCCGAGTTCTTTAATGCACGCAAACTCTTCATGGGAGACTAGGCATGAGAGGTTTATCTACTTTATCCGACGGCAATAATGATTTGATTTGCTTTCATTCATTCATTTTCTACGGCTTATCAACTATTTGCAGGTTATTTAAAGCCAGAAAATAATTTCAGACTGTAAGAATTTTTTTTTTTAATAATAATGATTTAGTGATACAAGCCTTACTAATTAACCCATAGCCGAAGGGAGGAGGGGTAGATACATACCTTTACCAAGAGTATTATCCATTATACATGACACCACTCCAAGCTTACAGCACCTGGTATTCCCAAGAGGTCATCCATCTAGGTACTGAGCAGGTTCGACCTTGCTTAAGTTCGATGATCAGACGGGAACCGGTGTCTCAACATAATATGACCGTAAGCTATGGTAATAAGGAGTATCATTCTCCTTGTCTAGAGACATGGATATAAGAATAGGCCATGTTTATAAGCAGCTTCTGGCGCACTTCGGCCTGGTGTAATAGTTGGTACGCTTGTCTCGTTTGATCAGTTACGTAGTGAGTTCGATCCTGGATATGGGCGGTCTATACTTTTTGCCTTTGATGCCACATCTACGGTGTGCTTAGTAAATCACTATAAGCAACTTCAGATGTTGACCAGTACTAGGATTTCTTAAAGAGTGAAGATGCGTAAAAGGTTGCTTACATATTATTATTTTATTTACAGAGAAACCTCGGTTCTCGAACATCTCACGTGGCGAACAAATCGGTTTTTCGAACAGAAAAATCGACATGAAAATGAACAAGATCAAACAAAATTTCGGTTCTCGAACAACATAGCCGAACCGAATTAACACGAATCGGATAATTTCTGAGTCGACCGCCGTGTTGTATACATTCATGTCTTATGCCGTGCTTTTCTTTTCAAATTTTATTGTACTGTCACTTTTTTTTCTCTACATTTATTCCTACTGGATAAATAGTTTCGGTTTACGAACATTTCAGGTTACGAACAACTTCAGGAACGAATTAAGTTCATGAACCGTGGTTCGGCTGTATTTATTTATTTATTTTTGTTGCTTGGGTCTAATGAATATAAAAGAAAGACACTTCAATGGAATTAGACTGTCCCAGGGCCGCTAACATGGTAATTACTCGACATTTTAATAATTTCATCCCAAACAAGCCACTAAGACGCAAGGGGGTTACTGAATGTGAAAGTTTATGAGAAAAAAGAAAATATTAATGAGAGAACAATAAAAGAACAGGAATTAAGAAGATAACGATTGACATTGCATTTAAATTTTTAAGGTCAAAGTTGACTGGAAAGCAAGAATCTGGAAAAGAGTTCCATAAGTGAGAAGTGCGAGAGAAGAAACTGTTAGCATAGAACTTACGGTTATATCTAGACATCAAATATAAAAGTAATGAGACCTTGCCGCCAATTTAATACTGCGTTTAAATTCATAAAGATTATTTACTGTTATCTTTCGTCTTTTTCTTCTTTTCTTTTTTTTCTCTTTCTTCTTTCCTCTTTCCTGTTTTCCTTTTCAGACTTAGTAGAATATTTTAGATCATCACCGATCATATTTACCTTTTGTGCCGCTTGTTTGTTTCTTCCATTCAAAGAGATTATATAACTTTTCAGCACTACCGGACCCGGGATTGAACTTAAAGGGGAAACCCGTTAAGTTTAAAGTAACGCGTTTATCTACTAGGGCATGCGTTTCATGGACAATCCCTTGTTGAAATTCTGGATCCTTAAGCCTAAAGACTGTACTCAGAAGGATTTGGTTCGAAAATTACCATACGGTTACGAAGACACGTATCGCAGGAACGCCGTGAAGCAATAAGAGCACAAGCCAGGAGACACGTGACTCAGAGGCGAAACAATGAGACAGAAAGAAGAGGAGGATAATAGGAGAGTAGACCTGCGCGCGCGCGAGAGAGAGAGAGAGAGAGGGGGCAGCGCAAAGAAGACAAGATGAAAACAGAGGAAGAATCTAATGCAAGAAGAGAAAATATGAGAAAGCGAATGGAAAAAGGTCTTCGATAAAAAATCAGAAGAGAAATGTGAATACTGGCGCCATGAGAAATGCACAAAGCACAGTTCATAGAACAAATACAGTTCTATTCATTGAAGTCAATTATCAAAAATTGCAGCGGATGGTGGGCACTTCGACGTTGTGTAATGGTTAGCATGATTATCTCGCGAGATCAATTACGACTGACTAGTGAGTTCGATTCTCACTGGGTGCTCTGCGCTTAGATAATCATTTATCGTGCAATATTTAACAAGCTTGTCTCGCGAGATCAATTACGACTGTGACTAGCGAGTTTGATCCTCACTGGGTGATGTATTCTTTCGGCCTTATGCTACATCCGATCTACACTAAGAAAATCACCATAACAGCGGTAGATGAAAAATAAGCCGTCCTTTTTTACGGCACGTTTACACTAGTAATAATAACACATCTCATTCGTTTGTCCAATTCCTATTGGGTCAGAATTCCTACCAAGACGGATCTATTTTTAACTTATGCTAAGCTAATTTTACATGTTATTATATTTAGTAATATTAATCGTCGTTATTTTGTGATCGTTCTTTGAACTATGCATGACTTTGGCTATTATGCCATGTAAGTCAATGTTTCCCAACCTGGGCCATATAGCCTCATTGTGGACCATGAGATATTTTCAGTAGCTATAAGACCAAGCTTGAAAAATGGGGGTCCACGAGGCGACACAGAAGATTTAGGACCCACAATATATATATATATATATATATATATATATATATATGGATTATTTTGTAATTAATAATTATTATTTAAAATAGAATATTAAATTTATTATTAAGTTAAATATTAAATTAATCTAAGCCATTTTCTTAACATAAATATTTATTTATCGTAATTTTTTCATCTGATCTATGCAAAATGGCTGTTTTTAGTTTTCACTTTCTTAAAATTTTAAACTCATAATTTAAAGTTTAAATTAAGGTATGTTTTCACCAACTTGCCTTTCAATTTTTCTTTTGTAATTGTTAATTATCTGTAAGTGACACATTTGTCATTCACTTGTTTGCTAATAAATCTTTCATTGGGTATATTCCCTGATTTTCTTAAGGTTGCTAAAATAATTCAATTACCAAAAAATACATTATTTACATTATTCGGACTATTGTTCTCATATTTGTCGCCATATTTATTACAACGTTTCGGCCGTTGTACGCTCCGGCCTTCTTCAGGTGGTTGGAATGTCGAACTGAACCCTTTATTTCGCTCACTGGGGAAGACTGTTCTAGTTCCACGTGCCATGGTTAATGGATGTCAGTTATCTCCTGTTAATTTTCGCTCTGAAAGTTCTCCACTGCCTTAACCGGGTATTGAACTCACACTCTTTGTTTCTCTGATCTACTCCAAATGACAGTGCCGCATTGGTTTTTGGGTCCCTTCATTGCTGATGCATCTGAGGTTGATATCACCCTACAAGAAGGTTTCACTGAACTTCAAAATAAACCAGCAGCTCAAGTGATGTTCAAGCATGGAGGATACCAGAATCTGTGGATGAACGAAGACATGCATATGAATTACCCACTGCTCTGGAAAGATGTGCAGTTTCTCTTACTCGCTTTTCTCATATTTTACTTGGTTTTGTCTGGTTTCAGTTGGATGATGCATCTGCTGTCAAAGACTTGAAATTGCCTTGACGTAGAAAAAAAAAGAGACAATCTACCTCTCTTTCTGACGGCTTTCAAGCCAAACATTGACAATTTGGCAGCCCTCCACCAGTCACAGGGATCCCATTAAAACCATACAAGATAAATCTGATGGTACATGTATTTTTTGTTTTGTAAATAAATGAGTTTATTCAAATAAAATATTTATCCAAATAATATTATTCTTTGATTTACAACTGAAGTTAGTGTTTTGATGCCATAGTACTATTCAAACTACAACCTTTAATATCCCTACTTCCCTAGCTGTATTAAGTTTAGGGACAGGGCGGGAGGGACGAGGGGTATAAGAACTCAATTTAACATGAAGGACCATGAAGAACTCGCATTGGATCGAAGGGAGCCACGGCGAGAATGAGGTTGAGAAACATTGATCTAAGAGATGGAAAATTAATTCAATGGATATTAAAATTGCATTTCTCCAGAGCGAACATTTTAAAAGAAATATATACTTAGCGCCTTCGTCAGAGGCTAAAATTCAATATGAAGAGATATTGAAGACTTTAGAAATGCGTCTACGGCTTAAATGATGCGGCCAGATCGCGGTAGTTGACAGTGAGACAAAACAAAACACTGATCAAATTGAGAGCAACCATGACAAAGCTTAATTCACATAGCGCCTTCATGATTCTAAACAGTTTCAATGAATTATCTTGACATGCATTGACGATTTACTCTGCCCAGGATAAAAAGCTTTTTCAACAGAATGTTATATATGACATCTGAAAAATATTTGCAGTTAAAACTAAAAGAAATGCCAATCTTAAATACGTGCGCCTAAAAATATTTCAAAGAACTAATCAGATAAGATAATCGTTAATTTGCGCGTCTTCGGATCCAACATAATTTTAGAACTTTTCATACGCCAACATTGCAGTATTGTTGACGTATTCGAAATTCATCATTGCCATCAGTTCCAAGACCAGATTTGCATGTAGGCCATGAATGACCTTCTAGTTGACTCATTGATGATACCAGCTCATTTTCTCCTTTGTCTGCCACTTTTTCTTTTGCCCAACGTGGGACCTTGTATGATGGCAGTGAAAAGACGGTGGAGCAGCTAGGTAGGAGTGGGGAATCGGAGAGCCGAGTTCGAATTCCAGTCAGATCTATTACATTCACTTACGTGCTAATACCCTTGGGAAAGGTATGAATCCTCTTCTTCCCCCAGCTATGAGTAAATAGAAGGACAGATTGGGTTCTATAGCCTTGGATGGCAACTGGTCTACCGCAGAAAGAAGTGTCAACCTACTGCGGGAAAAAAATTGCCTCGTCAGTCATGTATCGAAAATTACATGTTCACCTAAGCGTGTACCACGCATGGTACATAACTAACTGTCGTGTACATACCATTTCATTTTTCTCTTCTTGACAATGGTTGCGAGGTCTTCCAATGTGCCTGTTTCTTGTCGGCCCCTGTTTTGAATCTCTTCATTTTTATGTGGTTATTTCAAAGAAGTATAAATGTCCTTTTCATGTTACTATCGGTTGAAATTTATCAAAAAAAATTTATTAAAACAGTTTATCAGAAAATTATTCTTCTCAGGTTCATTTTTCTAGTAATGATGGGAATTTCTTTTCAAACCTTTTGTTTTTGGTTGTGTGGAAAGTTAACAGCTTCTTTATATTATTGTTTTCTCTCCTAATTACAGGTGCTACCCATTTTTGAAGTTGATATCGGAA